TGAGTTTTCATATGAGTGCACTACTTTGAGACTTCAGGTGCAGTGTAGAGGTAGCTGAACTCCCGGCAAAGGGCTAAATACACTGGATGATATGCCCTCTAATCCCATAGAGCTTTAGATTCCCCCTCACTTTCTCTTCTGGTGGCAGTTCCTCTTAGGACAAATAGTGAGGTTGAGCAGGGACACCAATATCAGTAAAAATGTGAAATAGATTTTAACCTTTCCCTGTTCTATCCAAAACTGGAAACAAAAGAGTCTTTCATATAAAAGAAATATATACATTATATACTGGATTCTATACACACACACACAACTCGGACTTGTTTTTCAATACAGAAACCAGATCAGACATTATCCAGCAAGGGATTTCTATATATTTTTGCCCAAGCACTTAGTCATCATATTTCCAGACTCGCTCGGCTTTCCTGAACTTCCTGTCCAGTTTTTAAGATCACAAGGGGCAGAGCAGTCTCCAGCATCTCTTCATCTACTTGCTTGGAGAAGGGAAGAGCAGGGAGGATAGTTTGCCTTGCCATGTCTGTGTGTGTTTGTGGGTACAGACTCCACCTTGATCATGTCAATAAAGAAGATTTAATGAAAGGAATTTTGGAGTGCCAGTGGTTTCTACTTTTTCTTATGGGTTGACTGGTGGCGCCATGCGATTCCACTGCTGCACCCACCTATAACCATTGGGTTTTGTTTCCACCTAGGCGTGCAATGTGATATGGACATATATGTGTGTTTGTGGAGACACACACAGCTTACTAACACACACAAGGGTGACTCCATAGCAGTTGCAGGACTATCACCATAGAGACCCAGGCGGTTGCTATGGGGCCCAAGGCACAGGGGGGCCTAGCCAGGACGAGGAACAAAGGTGTTTTGCTTGATGCTGTGCGGGTTGCCTCGGTCGCTATGGCATTGCAGGCTGCTGGCTGTCACTGGCTGCTGTGAGGAGGAACGCGCCGCTGTCCAGATCGCTGGCAACCTGTCGGTGCCTGGCGGCGGCAGCGTAGGAGGAGGTGGGGCCCGCCGGTGACAGAGGAGGAGGCAGCCAGCGGATCGGGGCTGGCAGGTGAGAGGTGTGCAGGGGTATGACCAGCCCACCTGAGACCCTGCAGAGCTCACCATAGAGAGTCTATGGTGGGCTCTTCAGGGTCACTCTGAGGTGGGCTGTGTGGGATCTCAGGGTGGCTCTACAAGGGGTGTAAATATAAATAACAGGGCCCCATACAAAATTTTGCTATGGGGCCCTGTGATTTACTAGTTACGCCCCTGCAAGGGAACGGAGCCACCCTAAAACATGATATTAGGACCAGTGCTCAGGGGACCAGCTGATTCTGCAAAAAACCAATAGGGCTATTCACAAAAGGGGGAAGAGTTTGGAGAAGGCAGGAGAAGTGGACAATCTAGGCTAAAATAGCTGATTTGGAAAAATTCTCCTATTCATCTCACTCTCCAAATCAGCCATGTTGTCCTAGATTGTTCCCTTCTCCTGCCTTCTCCAAACTCTTCACTATTTAGGCCTTGTTCACACCAAATGCAGACCAGATCTGCATGAGTTTCTGCACACGCAGTGCAGTGGGTTGTGCCACGTTTTTGATGCGTTCCTGGCCGTTTTTGGTATTAAAAAAAATATATATATATTTTTTTTAGTTTAAAATGAGCTTTCAGTGCGTTCCAGGGCGTTTGCATGTGTTTTGATGCGTTTGTATGCATTACAGAGCAGGTAAAAGGTCCTGCTGCTTTTTTTTTACCTGCTCTGGAACGGAACGCTGCGATGTGAACTGGAGTTAAAAATACCATTTGAAATACATTGGCGCAGTTTTGCTCCGGTCTGTAACTGCTCTGCTCTGCTCCTGGAACGCGCTTGGTATGAACAAGGCCTTAGTAAATAGCCCTGTAAAACCTTTAAATATCAAGCAGCAACAACCATTGTAAGTGATAGAATCAATGTTTGAAATAGCTTAAAAACCTTTTGACTTTAATATCGCTTGAACCCATCGAGCACTTGCCTTATTACATTGTCTGTGTAATAAAAGATGCCATGATCAGTCTAGAATGCCATCGCTTTTCAATTTAGAGACTTGCATGCTGAGCTCTGAGCATTCGTAGCAAGTACAGAGCTTGGTTCCGGCTGTCCAGCATTGGATACTTTAAAAACAATGATGTGTACTGCCGAGCAAAAGCAGTCTTGTTAATAAGTGGGAATATATTGCAGAAAACCAAAGCAAAGCTGGTGTTGTGGGTTGAAAAGAAAGGGGCGGCTTTGTCAAAACTGTAGCAAAAGTCTGCGTTGTCCATCCAACGATGAATAAGATGCCAGCTGTCATTTTGTTCCCACTAGAAAGCGGACAGTCGTAATCTGCTGTTACTATCGACAGCTCAGACACTTTTCTTTTCTCCAGACCTCATACATCAGCCCTAATGAGCATTGCACAGAAGGATATGTCTTTATGGATTTTATGTTCTATATACAGCAAAGCTGGCAATTTTTCAGTAATACTGGGAACGTCCATTTCACCAGTCATCCTGCCAGCAGAGCAATAGGTGAATGGCTTTTCAATGTTCTGAAGGAAAGGTCACCTCTTGCACAGTGCTTGGGAGGTAATGAGCAGTAACAAATCAAAAAGCAATAATGGTTATGGGTATAACCCCATTCTCCTGTAAAATGAGAGGCCTGTACTGTTTAATGATCCTGTCCTTGTTCCTCACAGCTCCACATGAATATAAACTCCCCTTAGGTCTGGCATATATTTCCTTCTTACAAAATCATTGAGATTCAGTAAAAATGGTCTGCTGCAGTGGAAAGGAACAGAATGTCCTGGGGCTGCACAGGCAGTCTTTATTTTATATGTTTGATAAATGCGGCTCAGAGTAATAGATTTATGAAAATGGCAGTTGTTGCCCATATCAACTTTGTGCTTGTTTATTTCAGCAGTGCAGAATTGTGAGTGAAAACTGCTATCTGATTTGTTACTATAGCCAACAGTCTTCATTTTCATTCACTACTATTTTCATAAACCATTCACAGGGTTTGTTGTACCCTGTGAATGGTACAATGAGACTGTCACAGGTCGGCTCATTAGATCAGGAGGTGAGCGAACAGATACCGGCATTCGCTCACCTCCCGATCCTGTCACGGCTCTCTGCCGTGACAGGGGAGGGGCTGGATTCCCGCCTCCCCGCTCCGATCCGCCAGCGCTGACTGATGGAACGGACGGGGGAGGGGGCGGGTACGGCTGGCTCTGCCTCTAGATACAATCGTCTTCACAGACAACCAGGGACACTCATTTAGCATTCTAAATCTGCATTTAGCACCACTTCACACTGTAGTTTTGCGCTAAAGGCACGGTATCCACGCGTTTATTGTGCAATGCACCGCAGGCTGGTGTTTGCATTCATTCTGATTGGCACCCCAACACACCTCCCGGTTGGTGTTGAATGCTGCGGCTCCTGCAGACTCCCAGCCCCTCTGTACGGAGTTACACACTTTGTTAAAGGGACAGAAGTAGGTGGCAGTGGGCTACAAGTGTGGTGACATTGCCACATTTGTACTCCATTTAGAACTACGCAGATGAACTTGTCTTTTCAATACCAGATCCTCTCAAAAGATCTGTGAATGGACTATGCGGCTGTGGAGGCGGAGCCCCGGAAATTCACTCCAATTTCAAATAACCCTGCGATTCTGATATGGGGGGGCTGCAGATGTGACCATGTTACACCCTGAATATGGGTGTAACAGGAAGTTACTATTTAAAGGAGAACTATGGGGTCAGTGTTTTTCCCCATTGTTCTCCTTAGGGTAACGGGAGGACACAAACTTAAGCTCAGTATACCGCGAGCTAGAGCTCGCGGTATACTGAGACGCCGCAGCCGGCGCGGATCCCGGAAAAGCACTCACCTCATAGTTCTCCTTTAACATTTACAGATGCGTAAAAATTTCATGAGCTTTCCAGAACATTAGATTGCTCGGGTTAAGTTGTTACTTGTTGAAGCGGCTGCTTCCAGATCTGTGATGTCCACTCAGTAGTTATAACAGGACACGTGTATACTGTTGGTTTATAAACAGGAGGTAGAACCAATAAACAATAGTTCTTCCACTCCCCTTAGTTGCTGTGGTATTGCAGCATTTTGCAGTACTTATTGTGTTATAGTGGGGTAAGCGGAAACAGGACTGAAGGAGGTGGCAGAACATTATATTTGCTGCTTACCAGTATATGTAGAAAGTGTCTTCAGACATTTCAGATTTGTATAGGACTGTCACTTCAAGATAAAGTAGTTTTGCTTCAAATGTCTGAAGAGGCCTCTTAAAGTGTTTCTAACAAGCACGGACACTTTATGGTACATACATAGCTCATGTTGGATTAAACAACCCAATAGTGAGCATAAAGCCTGTGACACACTGCACACGAAGCTGTGCAGAGCGAAGCAAAGCTGTCAGACACGGAGCTTTGCGTGCAGTGTGTGAGCTGAGTGCAGGCAGATGAATGACCGCACCTTCAGCCAATCGGTTCGCACGTAACAACCAGCTGGAGTGCGCATCCTGACATTTCTCATCTCAGCACGCTCAGCTATGCCCACATTCGTAAGCTCACGTGCCAGAGCGAAAATTACATGACACACTGCACGCGAAGGCAGCGCTTCACGTGCAGTGTGTCACAGCCTTTAAGCAGGGGTGGGCAAACTCTGGCCCTCTAGCTCTGGTGAAACTACAAATGCCATCATGCTTCTGTCTCTGAGAGTCATGCATGTGGCTGTGAAAATCTTGCAATGCCTATGGGATTTGTAGTTCCACAACAGCTTGAGGGCCAGAGTTTTCCCACCCATGGCATAAAGCAATTACTTCACAATAGCTGACGGCTCTGTGCGGGTTGTATTGACTTTACCCAAAAAGTGACACCAGATAGTGACTCTTGCATGAAGGCAAATTGAAGTGGCAGAGTTATATTCTGTCTATAAATCTTTAACTTGTCTTCTTTCCTCTTTCTGTGTTTCAGTTACAGCTCTCAGTCATCAGGTGCACACAGGGGCCAGAATGAACAGAAACATAAGAAAAAAGGGAACTTTCAGTTCTGCACTGGTCAGCTGCCGCAGTATACTGTACTGGATGCTGTTGGAGTGGTAAGCGACCCTATAATAATATTTGGGCAGGCATGTGACAGAAAGATACTTGTCACTTTATTCCAAATGCTTCCAACTGAATGTTGCTTCCAACTGAATTAAAAAAAAAAAATGTATCTGTCTGGTAAACTGAGTGTGACCCAACTATGAAATTTAGTGGGTTTTGTGATCTCTAATCAACTGCCAGCTAGGGCAAAAAAAAAATCAAGTAAGTTTTGTACATCTGTCTCACTGTTCATAAATGAATGTATCAATGGGACATTAGCTGTGTGGCTACAATTGGTATGTGTATGGGTACCAACACACGTCTGCACATCTCCTCAGCCAATACACCCAGCACTAGACAAGATAGGTAGGTTTCTTAAAGATTAAAGTGGTGGTGTCTGTTTATACACGCAAACACTTACAAAAATGGCGTGGCAGCCAAATTGCTGTTAAACATAGAGTAATGCGGTGGTAGTCACACTACTTGATGTAGGGCAGTGCTCCCCAACCTTTTTATCGCCGCGGACTGGTCAACGTTTGATAATTTTACCGCGGGCCGCTGGGCCGCGGTAAAATTGGCGTTCAAGTGGCGAAGCAGTTTTGAAGGTTTCATTGCCTCATTAGAGAGCTGGTCGCCGCAAACTATGCAGAGCGGTTTTGGTGTGTGGGAATCACCTGTCCCGATAAATCCATATTTCACCTTTTCTTTTTCCCAAGGAAACTTTCTAACGACGTCTGTTTTCGTACTAATTTTTGCTAATTTGTGGGTTAAATTTGAGCAAACACAATATACATGTACACCAAGCACTGTTAAACATGAGAACCGGTGAACAGAGAGAAGAGCGATACACACCTTCTCTTTACCAAAGCTACAATGCCACTGCCGCTTGCAGCCGCTCAGCTCCAGACGTTACCTAAAACCGCCCCGATATCACGATATTTTGCGCATGCGCGGTATTGGTGTGGCTTTAGGTGATGTCTCTCAGCTCCCGGTTAACCTCTCGTCCTGGAAATTCGGACAAACCCGAGAGAAATACACCACAGTAAATAAAATGGAAATAATGTAATGTTCCTTGGGCGGCCCGGTACCATTTGATCCACGGACCGGTACCGGTCCCGCGGCCCGGGGGTTGGCGACCACTGATCTAGGGAACCTCAAGTGCAGCCCCTGACTTCATCAAAGGGCTATTGGCATTCACCACATAATATTCAGAAAAATGCCATATATTGCAGACATGTAATGAAATGGTTATTGGCATGCTGCAAGTGATGGTCATAGACTGCAGACATCCTATAGGAATTGTTAGAGAGTTGGGACACGCTTCAGGAAACTGTCATAGACGTCTGGTCACAGAACCTCCTGGTCTCACTACTAGAGATGAGTGCTATCCGCAGCCCCTTTACAAATCAGTGCTTTCAAATTTCTGCTCCCAATAGCTACCTTTAAAAATTCCATGTGCCATATTTGGTATTTCTCTCAGCAAGATCAATCCTAAAAAAAAAACCAACATAAAAAGAGAAAAGGGATGGACAGCACAGAAAAGGAAGGTAGCACAAAAGAAATAAACCAAACCATTTAACCATTAGAAGTCAGCCAGTTAAAGAAAATATTTCCTTCAGTGGCTTAAAGGAGAACTAAAGCCAAACCTTTTAATTTTTTTTTTTTTAATTTTTTTTATTGGCGTTAGCCCTCTTTTATGTCAAAGGAGTTCCTTTTTTTCTGATGTACTCCTGTGACCCAATTCTGCATGTAGTGGACTACTTCCCTCTATTTGCTGACAGTGCAGGGCCATGCTGCAGCCGGCAAAGATCCCCACAATATTGTCAGGATCCACCCCGATCCTGACAGCTGGTTCTGCCGTTCTAGAGCTAGCTGTGCCCTCCCCTGTCTGTCCCTCCCATGAACGCTCGAGGAACAGTGAGGGGAGGGGGAATCCTTGCGGGGAGCGATGACTGACCGCTCTCTGCCGGGAGGAGACCGTGAGCTGAGAGATCAGGAGTTCTTGATTGCTCAGCTCTCACTCTATAGAGCCGGTGTGTGACCTCTGCAGTGTCACACCGTCTCTAAGTATTGGAAAGAGTACATTTTACTCTCCCAAAAGGTGCTCCTTTTAAGTAAGCACCAAGAAATAGATTACTATCTGGAGGGGCCCTGAGGGCCACTTTGTAAGTGCCAAAGGGCCACATGCAGCCCAGAGCCACAGGTTGGGCACCAGAGATCTAAGGTCTAACCAGTTTACTGAGAGCCCCCCGTATAGTGCTTTCATTTCTCCTCCTTTATGATGAATGTAAGTGTATGTGACCATTTTTCTCTCTTTTTTTCATCTTACAGGGAGCCGCTGCTGTGTTTTTCCTGCATTTAGCTCGTCAGGTGTCATTTTACTGCTCCACCAGTAAATCTCAGGAAGACCGGTGCTCGCGGCGTGAAGACCTGTGCTCACGACGCAAATACCTGGAACAGATTTTCTCATCTGTCTATAAGTACAGCAGGTTGTGTAAGTAGAACACTTCTGTTGAAATCTATATGATATAGAACCAGTTTCCGTAGCAGCAGTTACTTTATATTTCTCAATACTAGGGATGCACGAAAATGAAAATTTGTGGCTGAAACCGAAAATTAAAAATTTGTCCGGCTGATGCTAAAACCAAAAATGCCCAAACAGCCTCTGCCGCCGTCACCGTCTTGTTTCCGCCCCAAAAAGATGTCGGCAGTAGGAAGTGGGCGGTAGCAATAGCTAATAGCTTGCTGGCTATTGCTCCCACCCACTGCCTGTTGTCGATCAGCAGAGGAGCGGACGTGAAAGAAAACTTTCTCTCTCAGAGTACCATTTTTGGCCACCGATAATTTGTTGCATCCCTACTCAATACCACTTCTGTCCCATTGTAGCAAAATAAAGAAAAAGAAACTACTTGACCAGCCATGTATCAAACTTTCCTTTAAATGCAACTGTATAAACAGAAAAATACATGTAAGTAGAGCAGCCTTTCTAAGTCACGGTGCCATGGAACCCTGGGGTGCCTTCTGGCTTTATCAGGTGTGCCTTCAAATTTTTGCAGTGTGTCATGCATTTCCCTGCTGCAAGCGAGCCTGCACCATGTCAATGCATGATGCTAATTCCGGGTGAGCAGCATCCAGGACTTCCCCCAGCATTTATAAGAGGACAGAAGTCCATCTCTCTCTGTCCAAACCTGCTCCACCTCCCCCACTTTGCCATGCTGCCGCAGCCGCACCGTGGTGGTGATGGGGTAGGACTCTAATGTGAAAGGGGGGACTCTGATAGGAAGGGTAGGAAAGGATCCCTTCATCAGGGCATGCATGATGAAGGAATCCTGAGTGGCCCCGAAACGTTGCTTTGTGACGAGATGTGTGTACATCAATAAAATGACCAGTCGTTGAAGATTTTACTTTGGTGTGCTGGTGATATACTTTACTATTTGGATTTGAAGTGGCGCCATCCACTATTACTGCAGCACCCACTTTAAAAGGGACATACCAGTAAGGAGTGTGGTGGAAACCTCTTTGGATCTGATAGGATGGGAGCTCCTGATGGAAAGGGGGGAACTCCGCTTCACTTTTTTTTTTTTTTGTGGGGCCCACTCTAAAATCCAAATATAGAATGAGGGTTTAGTATAGATTTTGTGGGGAACCAATTGCCATTTCTTTACATTTACATTTTTTACAACTACTTTTAAACGTTGCCGTGACTAGGGATGAGCCGAACACCCCCGTGTTCGTATTCGAACCGCCGAAATGTTCAAGTTCGAACTCAATGCAAGTGTATGGGGGTCGAATGTTCGACCCCCATACAGCTGCCGGCACATGTGGCTGCAGGGGCCTGTGTCCCTTCAAATCCCCGCTGTTCCCCCCCGCCTGTGTTGGTGAAGGCAGCGGGAACACAGACCACTGCATTGCTCCGCTGCCCCAGTACCTTTGCTGCTGTCTTCCCCTAGTCCCTCGGCTTCTCCGTTCGGCCGCGGCACCTGTGCCCTGCCCCCCTGCCTCCTCTTCATTGCAGGCTGGGAGCCATACCCAGCCTGCTATTGGATATTGTAAAATGCAATAGCAAGCTGTCTATTGCACCTGCCTGCTGTAAATCAGCATGGGGGGACCTGATAGAGAACTTTCTCCTTCAGGCCCCTCCTCCGCTGAGCCCTGATCGGGCAAAGTCTTGCACCTGACCTGTGGTCAGGTGCAAGACTTTAACAAATCAGAGCTTCAGTGGGCATTTTGTATTATGGAATGTCTGTGGTCGAACAAACCGCGAACATCCCATAAAGTTCGGCGAACGCTCGAACTGCCGATGTTCGATTCGAACTCATGTTTGAATCGAACACTCGGCCCATCCCTAGCCTTCACTAAAAGCAGAATTGAGAAAAACCCTCTCCTAAAAATAAAATTCACCCCCACATTTATCAATCTCCTTGTTTGCGGTACTAGCTGTAACAAAGCAACAATATTTATTGAGCATATAATATGCTATGTGTGAATAAATTAGTCCAAACAACTTGCTATGGTGAAACAGTGAATGGATACAGTTGGATGACAACATTGTAATTTATTTTATTTCACATTCGGAAATTATTTTTGTGAGAGGGTTCTGTAGTTTTCTATTTATACTGTTGCAATTAAAGGAAAGTTTGCTACACCGCCGACTAAGTATCCGTTTTCTTTATTTTGCTTCACATCTACACATCACTGTATTTCTTCACCTTCATCACACCATATTTTATTCATACCTAAAATCCAGGCATTTTGCCAGCACAGAGTTGGAGATATGGCCATACGTGTTCAGGTTTCCTTAAGAGCTATTTTATGGAATTGATTGTTGTTTCTCACACAATTAACACTTGTTTTCTTCCTCATGTGTTGTAGCTGTCAGCAGTCACATTTTGCCAGGGAGTGTCCAGTCTAGTAGCTGGAATAGCATTCAGTTGCAGAATGATGCCGCTCTGCAGCATGCGGATGTTTCTCTTGAGAGTGCATCTTCAGCTTCCTTTAGTGAAAATGACCGTCTCCATCAAGTGTCTGAGCAAGGTATGGAAGGTGGAAGACTGTACCTTATTTATTTGTCCACTGTTGACTTACTAGTGGTTGACTGTTTCTGTTTCTTACCGTAGCAAATTCATACTCTAATGACCACCTTGGTTATTTACATGAATCAGATCTTAGTTCTGAGGAGAATACATCAAGACCTGTTAAGAAGGTAATATTACAGATAATTAATTTAATATTAATGTCTTCCTGAGTAAGTAGTTAGAGCACGGAATGTATAAAACTTGACCTTTTACCATTCACTGCACTTTAATTTGTCCCCTTGCCTTCTCTCGAATACACAATTTACAGTTTGTAAAGTGTATATAGTTTATTTTTGCTCCGCCATCCTCCCACTTCCTCATTACTCCTGGTGATGTACCTTCAGCTGCCCCCAGCCTCCTAGGATATTCATGTCACACATCCTATGAAGTGTAGGTCCAGAGGGTACCATCGCACTCCTGACCCGAAATAACCCAAAGTATCGGGTGGGTGCTGAGGTGACTGCAGATGCCGCGGGTAATCCAGAAATATATGAAGGTCACTTGCACTCCACTTCCAGTGCGAATAACCTTCATATATTTAAACATCCTATGAAGCCGCGTGTCGATGTGGTATAAGATTTCCTGCTGGCATATCTGACATCCATGCATGTGTGAAATTGTGTAATAAATTGGCACTTCTGTACCTGCAGATTCCTGGGGTGTGTGATGTTAATATCTCAAGGTGGGACAGGCAGCTGAAGGTATGTCACTCTTGCCTAGGTGAGGAAGTGGGAGGGTAAGGGGCAAAATTAAACTATATACAGATCACAAAACATGAACATTCTTATTGATTGTGTAATAGAATGGAGGGAGGATGGGAATGACCAAAAGTGCAGTAAATGGTGAAAGGTCCATTAAGAACTTTTAAATAGTTAATAGACTATTTTGCACTTTTTTGTAGGTACTGGATCCAAATGAAGACCATGGGGAATCAATAAACCGTGCTGCCTCTCGATTGCTGGATTTGACCGAGACCAGCATGCCTACAGTGCTGAACATATTTGGTACATATATAAATATCTTTACCTACCACTGTGGTTCTCAGTTGTGGAGGGAGAACAGCGCACCTAAAAGAAACACACACAGAAATGTGGAGAAAATACAACCTATATGTGGGCATTGTAGACAGTTTCCAAAGTTAAGCCCGGTCAAGAGTTCAAAGACACTATGCTTAAAGGGTATCCACAAATTTGTTATAGCGTAGGAAAGGGTTAGAACTCCTGTCTTTTTATTGCTGCCTGTCCCCCTGCTACAGAGATTTACACTCACTGTTCTGGTGAGTTGTCACTAGAACAGAAATAGAGGGAAAATCTTCCACTGGGGACACTTGTTCCAGTGACAACTGTCTGAGAGGGGATTCCCCTAACCTTAAAGAGATGACCTCTTGCTTTCTACAGGACCGGAGCTTTAGGAAACTCTCCCCATTTGGATACACTTGGGAAAAATCCTGACTGGTTTAAACCATTCCCTTTTCTATCCAAAATGAAAAAATAGCTTAGATATACTTTAATCGGCCTGCTATTTTGTTACCTTTAAATAAGCACCAAAAGGAAACGTATACAAATAGCATGTATTTATTTACGAATTACTAAATCACTCTGAGTTGAGCTGGTGAAATGAACTGAAATCTGTCTATATACGAAATACTGCATAGTAGGGATGTCCCAATACCATTTTTTTAGGGCCGAGTACAAGTACTTTCCCTCAGGTACCAATTACGATACTTTTTCTTAAAGGAAAATGTGACATTTTTTCTAAAACAATACAGACTAATGATTTTAGGGCAGTTTTATAATAATGAAGAACTGTAACTCATTCCATGATTATTCAGCAATGGAGAATGTCAACCAGCAATAGAGGACTACAGATCAAATCAATCCATGATTATACAGTAATGGAGAATGCCAATAATGGATTGCTGATATTTGTAGTCATCTAAAGCCTGTTGCTATTTTCTATTGCTGTATAATGATTGATTATGGAGAATAGCAACCAGAAATAGAGGACTACAGATCCTATCAATCCATGATTAAACAACAATTATACAGGGCTGTGTGCGGTCTCAGCAGGGCTGTGTGCGGTCTCAGCAGGGCTGTGTGCGGTCTCAGCAGGGCTGTGTGCGGTCTCAGCAGGGCTGTGTGCGGTCTCAGCAGGGCTGTGTGCGGTCTCAGCAGGGCTGTGTGCGGTCTCAGCAGGGCTGAGTCTCACCAGGGCTGCGTTCCGGTCTCACCAGGGCTGCGTGTGGGTCTCTCCGGGGCTCTGCAGTTGGGTGCCGGGCTGAACAGGGGGGATCCGGGCTCGTGGGGCTATCTTGTGCTGTGCCAGGGAAGTAGGCAATGTACGGCCAGACCAGCACTGTCAAAGACAGCTGCCTGAGGTCCCTGAGGTAGCTGAACTTGTTTCAAAATATAAAGGGCCGTTATCGGCCTTAAGAATTGGGGCATTTTCAGGATACTAGTATCGGTATCGAGACATCCCTACTGCAGTCTAATGTATATATTCATATTTAGTAAAACAGAAGCACAGAGACGGGAGGAGATATTTATGTGGGCTTAGGTTGGAAATGGCTTAACATGGCAGTGCCAGTGTGATGAACAGCAGATGCAGAGACAGTTGTGTGGAATCTGCAGTATAACCAAATATTTGTTACCATCCCTATGAAATATTTTTCATCATGATTTGCAACCATATTGTTTCAATAGAACTGGGTTATAATGTTTCAACTGGGTCTGATTGGAGTTGCCCTTTAATCACATCTAAATATTTTTTGTTACCAATGTCTCCAGGGATTATCAGTGCCAGGGACAGTGCTGATTACAAATCCGCTTTCCGCTTCTTTCAAGAATCTGCAGAGAGTGGCTACAGCAAGGCCCAATACAACACGGCTGTGTGCTATGAGAAAGGAAGAGGAGTGGCCAAAGACATGACCAAAGTATGTGGTATTGCGTGACTGGGATGGTCGTTGTCTGATAGATAAGTCTGTAGCGATAAGTCACATTGGTGCAGACTAATAATAGATTTAATAGGGCTCATTTAAATGTTCCTTGTTTAATCATTAAGGTAAATAGTAAAAATATTATTTCTGTTGAGCTCTGCATGCAATCTGCATTTATTGTACCATTTATATTCCTAGATCTTTATGCGTTATGTACATATTAAGGAGTTTGTTCCCCTAGATCACAGTTTCTTTGCTTCTGGCAAGTGAACCTTTGACCAGGGTATGGTCATTTAAAAGAGAACTATGGGATAAGTGTTTTTCCCCCGTAGTTTTCTTTAGGGTCACGGGAGGACATATACTAACCTCCTCCCGTGACCCAAAGCTCAGTATATAGCGGGCTGTCTAATGCGAACAAAATAAAACACCAAAAATGCACTATTTTTACACTTTTTATTTTACTGTGCATTGTGGCGCCCTGCCTTGTTTTCAGTTTTAAGACACCGTGGATATTATTGACTTTTTTTTAATCTTTGGCTAACGATGACATAACACAAGCAAAATGTGCCTTTTTAATCACTTTTTCAAAAATGCTTCAGTAATGTTATGGTCCACTGTGCAAAAAGTACGTTCACCCTTGGCCAAAGAAACTGGTATTTTCCCCTTTAGCAGAAACGACTTCTTTTAGGAGTTTTGCATAACTGCCCACCAGTCTCGGATATCGATTTAGTTAAATATTTGACAACTCCTCCATGACAAATTCCTTTGGATGCCAGCAGTGAGTTTTGTTATGTGAACTTCCCCTTTTAGATCCCCCACAACATTCTTGTGGGGTTTAAATGATCGCTTTTACTAGGCCTGTTCAGGTAGAAACAAAACCTTTTGTCTCTAGGGTTATGGAGATCCGAACCCTTGTTAGTTACCCTTTTGTTCTGCTCGTCAACCAGATTTGTAACCCAAAGTAGACCATATAGAAATGATTTAACCAGCTACAAGAGGGTAGCTGGTCACAGAGGTCAGCATAAAATCGGGACAAGCAAGATATATGCAAACATTTAATTTATTGTACAAAAAAAACTGTAGCATTTAGGACATAGCCATCAAAAGCAGACTACTATTAAAAACAAAGAAGCATGGCATTCAATTAGTAAACCTTCTGATATATAAATAGATTGACAGTTGTGCTCTTATTACCATAGATATGTCAAAACCGTAAGGAAAAAATGATTTAACTTATATGCATAGAGACACCCTACTTCCTAGTATTGTGATAACCTCTATATATTTCAAATCACATTAGGATATTTATAGTTAGATGAAAGAGACATATAAAAACTTCTTGTAAGAATACTTTTCCGTGTTGATATATTGCTGTGACCAGCTTCCCTCTTGTAGCTGGTTAGATCTTTTCTGTTCATAACCCTGCATTTTATTTATTTTGTTTTTTGTTTATCCAATTCTTGTTTATCATCTTGAACATCCATTCCCACTTCAGCATCAACTCTTGGACAGATGACCTCACATTCTTATAAAGCCCGCTTTGTGATATAATGTAGAATTCATAGTTGACTCAAAGACTGCAAGCTGCCCAGGCCCTGAAGCAGCAAAGCAGCCTGAAACCATAACATTTCCACCACGTTTTACGGCTGGCATGAGGTTCTTCTTAAAATACTGTCTTTGGTTTGCACCAAACAGGTCTACTGTTACTGTGACCAATCATGTCTGTCTTTGAGTCATCAGTCCACCGCACATTTTTCCAGAAGCCCTATATGTTCAATCTCAAACTGTAATTGTGCTCTAAAGTTTGTTTTTTGGACAGCAAAGGCTTTTTCCTGGCACACCTCCCATGCAGGTCATATTGGTGCAGTCTTTCAAATTGTGTACTTTGACCCCAGCTGTTGCAAGAGTTACCTGCAGATCCCGCAATGAAATGTTGGGGTTCTTCGTGACTTATTTCAACATCAGTCAGCTCTTGGACTGAATTTGCTGGACCAGTTGGTTCTGGATATACTATATGAGCAGTCTTTTGAAGTCTACACCACTTGTAGATTTATTTTTTTTACAGTGGAAATATTGATTGAAAAAATATTGGTGATCTTTTTAAATCCTTTGCCAGACTCATGGCCATCTACAACCTTTTCTCTGAGGGCTTTAGAGAGCTTTTTTTTTTAATCTTGGCATGATGATAACACACACGTCAGTAGTAAATATAGCACTAGACCCTAGATGAGTTTTAAATAAGACAGGTTCCACCATGGATTGGAAGTGGTGGTAAATGTAGGGGTGTACTTATTCCATATCACAAATCTCCGTTTTTGTTAATATAATTACAATAAATACACCATATTCATGTTTATGTGTGCTTTGTTCACATATATCATCTTTATCTGTAGGCACAATTTGAATGAAGATCTAATATTTACCTGTTCAGATATATTGAGAAAGTCAACATAGCCTCTGTATGAGAGCGCAGAAGACGTATTGCTAATACTGTTTGACAGTAGTATGAACCAAAAAAGTTTGTTGTTTTTTTACAATACAGCAAGGGGAAAAAAAAATCTACAATGCCCTGGAATGTTTTATGCACAATATGCACAAAGAGGGCATCTTCCTTGGTCATTTTGAATGTTTGTTACTGTTCCCCTTCTAGGCAGCAGAATATTATCGCCTAGCAGCCAGTGGAGGACACCTGCTTGCCAAATATTATTATGCCCGCCATTTGCTACAATCTAATACTGAGGAGAGACAGTCAGCAGTACAGCTGCTTCTAGATGCTGCCCAGGCTGGTGTGAAAGAGGTGAGTGTTGCATCGGTGTCACAATTTTTGGAACCCTTAAAAGAGAGGAGATATCATGTTGTAATTTTAGGGTAGAAAAAAATCTTGCCTTAAATGTATCCACCCTAGCTCATCACCATTTTGGTTTGTTGGTTACTAAGACCAGAAGTAAAGTTTTTGTTAATTGAGTGTATCTAGTTGGGCTAAACAGGGCCCCCAAATCTGAGTTTAGCATGGCTCACACTTTCTAAACAACAGATGGTGCACAGTCCAGAGAATTTCAGTATCAGAATTGTTTTCCCATAAATAGCAGTTCTGGCAGATTTAGGAAATATCTAGGTGCAAAGTTATGTTTAAAGTTGATGCTTTAGTGGTGCTACTTTGAAGTGCAGTAGCAGTCATTGTTCCCAGTGGTGTCGCCTAAGTGAATTCACTAGGACCTGTTTATTAGACAAATCCTAATAGACCAGTTTAATTGCCAACGTGTCTAAATGATTGCGTTTTGCTGCAGTTTGAGTGTGTTTGGCATATGCTTTGCATTCTCTATCTGCAAAAACAATGTACTGAAGTTTCTTTGCTGATCTAAGATGTAACAAAGTTCAAGTGTTAGTGGGCTACCTCAGTGAAAAACATATGTATTTTTATTATTTTGAATTTTTTATTTTTACCATGCATACCATAATATACATTTTTTTTGCAGGCTCAAGCCTATTTAGGCGTTTTCTACAGTAAAGAATCTCATTTTGATCCCCAGAAAGCTGCAAGATACTTCTGGATGGCAGCTGAGAATGGAGTAAGTAATAAAACTAGAACCTACACAGAAGATATCTAAAACAATACATGTGTTACCTTATGCAACACGTGTGACTTCATTAACCAAAGCAATGACAGTCTCATACTAGATGGCGGTGACCAGTTTTCCTGGGACTTTCCCAGATTCCAGCTGCTGATGCATATTTGAAAGTGGACACATGTTGCGGCCCAATAATGTTGAGCCTTTCAATGCAAAACATTTTTATGCAGGCATGTTGTCATGTAAAGGTCCTGCTTTCAAATTATTTAAGTTGCAGCCATTCAAATAAAAAATAGCACGTTGTTTTAGAATTGTTTACCTTGGAATCACAGAGCAGCAACTGTGCAGTCTTGGACTCGGTACCCTGAAGATATTTTGGGCTTTACCAAACTCTTTAGCTCATCAACACCTTCATTAAGTTTCAGATTTTTGATCGACCCCCCCCAAACATTTACTCTATGAAAATAATGTATGAAATACTACTTAAAATTATAATAATTTTTAGTAAATGCACAGTATTCAGTTCTTTGGCACTACTTCTTATGAGGGGAGGGGAGTATGCTTGGTACGGTAAATTTAACATGTACATTTAACATTTCGCAGGGTGGAAGGCCACAGACACAAAACGCAAAGCACGCTGTTAAGCAAGGCCAGTAACACTAAACAGCTGATGGAGAAAGCCTAAAGGCCACTCTCACTGCTGGATGACCATCCATCCCTGATTAACCACTTCCGGGCCGCAATACGTCAGCAGCCGTGTTCTTGGTACCACTTTTAACAGCAGGCGATTGCGGTTAATGTACAAGCGATCTGTACAGCCGCTGGATCGTTTGTACCGTGCGGCAGCTCCCCGCCGCGGCCGCCTTTGTCTTCTACGTGCACTGCTTTCCCCGTGCGAAGCCCAGGAGCGGCTCGGCGGGTCTCCCCGCAATGATCAGGGAGAGATTCAGCGGCTTCTAGCCGCTGATCTCTCCTCCGATCACTAAACCCGGAAGTGATGTTTATTACATCACTTCCGGTGTCACTCTTACAGTCTCCGGCTCTTAGAGCCAAGACATGAAGCTGGGGAAGCAGATCTCTGCTTCCTCAGCTTCTTTGTAGTCCCTTGGTGACATTAGGGGTCTGGAAGACCCCTGATGTCTCCATAAAGAGGACATGTCACACCCTATTTGCTATTACATAGGGTGCTTGTTAGCTCCCTATGTGATAGCAATAGGGTTAGTGTAAAAAGAAAAAAGTGTTTAAAAATGATAAAAATTAAAGTAACATATAAGAAAAATGTAAAAAATGCAAAAACAAAATGTGCAAGTCCCCCGCCGCCCACGTGCACATACACACGCAAACGCGTGTCGGTGCGCCAACGTGCGAAAATTACAATTGTGCTACACATGTTATATATCGCCACGAACGTCGGAGTGAGAGCAATAATTTGCTCTCTATTCTAGGGCCATCAATCACTGTTAGCACTAAACTGATGAGCGGTAAAAGCATTTAAAATTTTCCATTTGTGAAATTTTGGGTATTGACTTTTTTTTGCGGCTTCACGGGTGAGCGCAATTTTAAGGCTTGACATGTTGGGTATCTATTTACCCGGCATGACCCCATCTTTCATATTTTACCACAAAATTGGGTATTATATTATGTTTCTGTGCACTAAATTTTAATTTAGTTTATTTTTTACAAAAAATACTGGTTTGATAAACATTTGTGCAAAAACCGTGCGACATAAAAAATTGCAACTAGAATTTTTTTTTTTTTATTCTACAGGGCCTCTGCTTTCAGAACATATATCATTGTTTGAGGGTTTGAAGCTGTTTTCTAGCCAAAAATGTATATTTTATCATGTGTGCGCAAATAGTAAGAAAATGCCCCGAACAGCAAGTGGTTAAAGGAGAACTATGGGGTTAGGGCTTTTCACCATAGTTCTCCTAAGGGTAACGGGAGGACACAAACTAGCGTACTCCCGTCACCCGAAGCTCAGTATACCGCGAGCTATAGCTTGCGGTATACTGAGACGCCGCAGCCGGGATGGATCCCGACATTACTGTCTGGATCCACCCAGCTGCGTGAGTGACAGCTGGCTCTGCTTACCTAGAGGCAGAGCCAGCTGTACCCGTCCGTTCCGCCAGTCAGCGCTGGAGGATCGGACAGGGGAGGGGGGAAACCCTGCAGGGAGCTGTGAGTGACAGTCACGGCTCTCTGCAGTGACATGATCAAGAAGTGAGCGAGCGAGGGCGTGGCTTGGCGATGGCGGCGTGAGGAAGCACATTGCTAGAGCTCTGCTATCTCCGGACATTATTCAGAAGACCGAGACATCCTACGACCTAGTTCTTAATGTCGCAGAAGAGGAAATCCAGGTCTAATAACAGCCGGCGCTCCCTGACATCCCTACAGCGCTACTTATCGGGCCAGGCGCCGTCGACCCGCAACACCCCTCGGCCGGCCATGGCGACAGAGACACAGGGTAAGCCTCAGGGGCCTACTCCTCCTCGCCAACCTCGAGATACCCCGAACTCACCGCATGCTCTGAACCCGGGAGCGTCTACACGGCAACGGATACCTGACTCACAGCCCGCACCCAGCGTAATTGAGGATCCGGTTTTCCGCCTCACCCCCACCCCACCACAGACGTCCGAGGTGTCGACCTCCCTCTCTGCTAACGAGATCTCCTCCATCCTCCTGTCCCTGCCCACGCGGCAAGACATGGCCGCCCTGGTAACAAAAATGGAAGCCGCGCTGAAACGCGACATAGCGGGCATCCACAAGACGGTCTCCCATCTGGAGTCGAGAGTATCAACCCTAACGGAGAACAAGACTCACCTGTCCCGCAGACTGGACCGCCTAGAGTCGGATAGGCCGTCCTATGTCCGCCATCTCTCCGCCCTATACTTGGCTCAAGATGACCTTGAAAATAGGTCCCGGAGAAACAACGTTAAACTCCGGGGGCTCCCAGAGGCCACAGGTGCAGCGGACCTCCGCCCCACAGTGACAGCCATCCTCAACACTGTGATGGATAGGGCCCCAGACTCCATCCTGGAGATCGACCGAGTCCATCGTGTGGGGGGACCCAGAGCAGACGGCGACCCTCGGCCTAGAGACGTACTGTGCCGCATCCATTTTTTCAAGGTAAAGGAAACCGTGATGCGTAAAGCGTGGCAGAAGGGCCCAATTCCCTTTGATGGGGCCGACATAACCCTCCTACCGGACCTGTCCCGCCGCACGCTCCATATGCGGCGCCTACTGCAACCCCTTCTTGCTGAAATCAGACGTGCCGGAGGCCTCTACACGTGGGGTTACCCCTTCAGCCTGCATGTGAGATGCAACGGCCGGTCCTTCATCCTGCGCCACCCGACCCAGCTAGAGGATCTTTTTTCATTCCTCGGAGTGACGCCTGTGGAGATCCCAGACTGGCTAGGCCTGGACACGAAACACCGTCCTCTCCCCCAACGCAGACGGAGGCGTAGCACATCCTGGAACAGACCCAGGGCGTCCCGCCCTGCACCCACATCCAGCGAACCCTAACTCCACGGGAGCCTGGAAGAGGCCTACTCTGCCGCACTGAGATTTGGTAGAAGTCATACTGGAGGGCCTGCTGCCGCCCACGCCGCCGGCCGCTGATGGAACCTTGGATATCGGGATGCACCAGGACGCGAGGAGCCCACGAGTGTGCCCCTTCACTTAACTCGTGCGACACCGGTGAGATACCCACTCCACTGCCCTACTCGCCAATGCACCCCAACGTTCCCGGCACGGACAGTCCCTGTTGTTGTCACCCCCGCCACCATAGAGAGAACCTGGGCCACTTGACTGCCTACACTCCTCCTGAACTGTATGCCTGGCTAACCTGAGACTGCCATACCAGAGCAACACGAACTCTTTGGGTGGGTGCAGGCTACAGCTCGGTGGTCCGCACAGTATGGCATTATATGACTCATACCGACACAACCGTTGTGAGGCTACGGTTCCCATTGGTGGCCATGACCATAATGTTTGCTAAAAATTAATGTTTTTCTTTCTTCCATCCCAATGGTTCCGGTGGACGGCGGGGCAGGGCCCCAGATGCGTGGGAGTTCTCTGGGAAGGCCTTCGAAGGAGTGGTGGGCCGCCTCGCGGGCTGTGAGAGGTAACCCCCTCCACCCCCATACCAGACATGAGCGCACCTTCTAGATGCGGCCTGTCCGGGTGGTCGCCTGCCGTGGGCCCTCCTGGACAACTCCCCCATCCTTCCTACTAACATTGGAGTAGCGGCCCGCCAGGTTGTCATTGTTACTGTTAAAATGTTTGTTAATGTTAATGTTCCATTTTACTCTCCTATTCTTGGTACTTAGCAGTTGTGCCTCCAAGCCTAGGATGTCCCCTTTAGAAAACGGAGAGGCCCTGTTGGGGGCCCTCCCTTACGCTTGTTATGTTACTGACGCCCGAGAGATAGCATCTCACCCGCTTAAAATTCCCCTGCCCGTAGTGTTTGCCCACTTGCTGGCCGTAGCACACCACTTCCCCCCCACGTAGGTACTCGGCTCTGCCCAGACCCCTGGAGACCCTGACTTCTCCC